GGAGCCACAGAATTTGATACCTACTGGACTCTCTCTTTTCACCTCTTCCCCTTTCCTTTATACAAATTTGTCTGGAATACCGACCTGAAAATTAATCAGTCTTAATCATTAACAGGAAAATGTGTTCTGCTGCTTCTGAAGAACCTTCCATATTTCCATGTGCCAGAGCTGCAGAGTACTGGTGACAGCAGAGGACATCTGCTCACCAACTACCATAACAACTCCCTTCCAGCTCATAGATCAATCCTTGTTCTCTTCACCTCTTTCCTCTAGTCAATCACTTCTCTTGCATTCATTTTCCCCTAGAGGTTTCATTTACTAAACCTATCTACTGTGATAGCTAAGACATAAATGAAAATACTATAAGTCATTAAGTCATTGATTTTTCCAATAGCACTAGAGCCACATTTCACTGGATCCCCAGCACCCTGTTCCATGATGCCTACTGAACAACAAGGAATAAGTGGCCACATCCTTATGAACCAAGTCGGTCAGCAATCTAAATGTTTGCCTCATAAACCTGGAAGTGAGGATCTGAACCATAGGACAAGAAATTTTTGTAGGTGAATTGGTGGACCAGGCAGTCATATGTTGGTATTAGACTTTATGTAACTTTCACCTATCACATGAGTTTTCCTACCATTTGGAAAATCTCTTTCGCTTCCTCTGGACCAAATCTGCAAAGTCCAACAGGTGCCTGAAGCACTATTAGACCACTGACTGAGGGAGACCAGGCAATTTGTCACTCAGAGGGGAATAAGACTTTGGTTCTGCTACCAAATTCCTTTCCCCATCCTCATTCCAATCTGTTCTCAGTAAAATAAGGTTAGAGTAAGTGCTCCTGGGATTTCTTCCCTGGCAGATCTGAATGAAGACAGAATGTTTGTCAAATGGAACATGTTACTGTTACATCAATACCCTGGTATTGATGATAGGTTACAGAAAGCAAAGTGGGTTTATCTACACGAACTAAGAATTTAAGATGTAAGATATTAGACTGATAATTCAAAATTAATCAGTGGTGATAGGCATGAGTATGCACAAAAGTGTAACTCCATAAGCAGAATTAACAGTAAGAAAATATACACAAAGTCTAGACACTTATACAGTATTAAGGCTATTTTAAATATAAATTATCATGACATATAAGTGGAAAAACATTACAATTGCACTTTATTATTAAGCAATTCTAGTTTGTGCAATTTCATTTCAAATCTTAGGCCTGGAGAGGGAAGCAACTCTTGAAGATCTTCAGAGGAGTAACAGGGGAAAAATAGTCAAATAGATGTTAAATAAGAAAGAAGAGAAAATCAAAGGATGGTCCATTTCTAAGAGATAGAGAAAGGGAAAAAGAAGACAAGAACTCAAAATAAGTGAGACAGATGGAATCTGAGCCTAAGAACACACAGCTGTGTAAATCTCTCCCTCTGACTGGCAGTGGCCCAGCCAGATTCAGGCTAAATGGCTGGTGAGGAATCAGGTAAAGTGGGGCTAGGACTCAAGTTGGGGGTCTCAACCCAATATAGCCCAAGGTACAGAGTGGGTGGGCTGGCTAAATATGTTCTGCTTGTAGTTCAGCCTTTGAGGGATTTCCCTGGTGGTCCAGTGATTAAGAATCTGCCTCTCAATGCAGGGAATGTGGATTCAATCCCTGGTTGGGGAACTAGGATCCCACATGCCATGGGACAGCTAAGCCTGTACACAGCAACTACTAAAGCCCACACACCTCAATTAAAGAGAAGCCTGAGCACCACCCCAACAATAAATCCTGCATGCTGCAACTAAGACCCAACACAGCCAAATAAAATAACTGTGAAAAAAAAAACAGAGTCAGCCTTTGATTGCAGATAGGAAATGCAATGTCAGAAACAGGAGTTCTGCTTCTGGTGGAACAATGAACCTATGTTGCTTTGAACCAAACTTTCCATTGAGAACAGCTAGAAAAGCTAAATAATATATTATAAGTGTCTATTTGTAGTCATCCAAAATCTATCAAATCAGTGAGAAATTTTGGGCTAGGGAGCAAAGTCTAGGAGTAGGAAGCCCAGAGAGATGAGATGAGCATTGAGGGAGATTTTCTTCTAAAGAAATTTCCTGAAAGTCTTGGCCAAGAAGCAGATAAACTCCAGGGTTTCTGGCTGGAGGGACAAAATTTTGATTTCAGAAATCACTGAGGAGGGAGACTTTGGTAAACACTACAGGCTTTGAGTTAGGATCCCAAAGGACTACCCTCTACAAGTAAGGAAGTAGCAAAGTTGGGTCCAGCTTTAAATTCTCTCACCACTGATTTAATTAAAGTGACAGGAATGCTAGTGCTTTCATACTAGTCATCAGACAGAAGCCAGTGGAATCCTCTCTAGAGGAAGGTGATATTACCTAGAGCCTCAATTTATTGCCACAGGTCTTGAAGTAGAAAGTACAGCACTCAATGAAAAATAAACAGTCAAGAAGATAAGACAGGTCCAAGAAACAAACAAAAAGAGAAAATATTAAAAGACCATAGAGAACACAACTAATAGGATTATCAGGCACAGATTTCAAAATAACTGATTAATATTTTCAAAGAATTGAAAACAAGATTAGGGATTTTGGCAGACTGTAAACTATTCAAACAACAAAATAGAGGTTGTGGATCTGAAAAATATGGTAATGGAAATTTAAAACTTAATGGATGGGTTTAACAGAAGATTAGATACATCAAAGAAGATACTTAGTAAACTGGAAGGCACATCCAAAGAAAACATTTGATGAGACAAGTGGATGGAAAATTCCAAAAAGAGGGTAAGGGGTGTGGGAAAAAGTGAAAATGTTGAAAATATCACCTGTGATTAAAATTACAGAAGGAAAGGAAAGCAAGGACACAGAATTAATATATGAAGAAATAACAGCCAAGAATGATACAAAACTGACAGAAGATATCAAGTAACAAATTCAAAAAGCACTCTGAACCTCAAACAGAATAAATACATAGATGACTACACCCAATTATATCACCATATAATAGCTGAAAATCAAAGAGAAGGAAAAAATTTTAAAGAACAAGAAAACAAAAACAAACACTGTCTTTCACAGAACAAAACTAAGACTCCCATATAATTTCTCAACAGAAATATGGGAAGTCCGAGACAATGGGACAGTATTTTCCATGTGTTGAAAGAAAATAACTGCCAACATAGAATTCTATACCCAGAAAAACAAATAAATCACTTCTAAATTAAGGAAAATTAAGATATTTTCAGACAAACAAAAAGTGAGATTATTCATCTCTAGCATGCCTGCTCACAAGGAAATGCTAAAGGATATTCTTTAGGCAGAAGGAAAACTCTTCTAGTTATAAGAAAGAACATTCATGAAGAAGTGAAGAGCAATAGAAAGGTAAATCTAAACAAACATTGACTCATAAGACAATAATCATTTCCAGGTGGATGGTTAAAATAGAAAGAGAACTAAAATCCATGACAGTGATAGCAATAAGTTGGGGAGGTAAGAAAAGAGTTAATATGTTCTAAGGTTCTTGCAAAATCCAAGAGATGATAAAAGTACTAATACACATTAGATACAATAAATCAGAGATCTATTTTATAATCTCTAGAGTAACTACTAAAGAAAAGAAAAAATGCATAACTACCAAACATGTTTTTAATAATAAAAATACTTAATTCAAAAGGCAGCAAGAAAAAGATTAGGGAAGAAGACAGGCAAAACAAACATGAAGAGAATAAGGTGGTAGGTGTAAACCCATATGTATCAGGAATAACAGCACCAGGTACCAGTCCAGGGAATAAAGCAGGCTGTAGAGTTGAGTTGTTAACTGAGTACAGTCAGAGTTGGAGGGAAAGTAAGGCAGGCTGGGGAGGAGGATCTGGAATGAGGTGGAAAACAGTGTTAGGAATCACAGGATTGTACTCCCCAAAATGTTTGTTTAGTAACTTAAATTAAGGCAACCTTGGATGGCTTAAAAGACCCAAGAGGGAAGATAAAAAGGAGTGGGAATTCTTTCTTTCATCCAAATCAGTAGCTTCCCAGGTGGCACTAGTGATAAAGAACCCACCTGCCAATGCAGGAGTTGCAGGAGACTTGGGTTGATCCCTGGGCCAGGAAGATCCCCTGGAAGAGGGCATGGCAACCCACTCCAGTATTCTTGCCGAGAGAACCCCATGGACAGGGGAGTCTGGCAACCTACAGTCCAAAGGGTCGGAAAGAGTTGGACACTGAAATGACTTAGCACGCACACACACAATAGTAGCTGCCAGTTACCACACAAGGACATGAATATATGAAGAAAATATATTTCTTCATTGTTTATAAAGCTTCCACGTGTAATATGCTACCTATTCATCACAATTCTGGGATATAGAGTAAGCAGAATCATAATCCCTATTTTACATATGAAGAAATGGAGACCCAAAAGATGAAACAACAACACTATCATCACACATTCCATGCTGAGAATAGAAATTTCCAATTTCCCATCCAATACTCTCTTAGCCACATGACCTCTTAAGCAAGTATAATGGAGGATTTACAACCTACTGATCTTGCCATGCACCTTTTGCCCCTAAATTTTTGGAGTGTTGATTTTTCATCCTGCAGAAGTGCTAGGTAACCAGCACTAGTGACTGGCTATTAAAATTTAAGGAGCTAATGTTCAAAAACCCCTGGCACAGAGCAGATGCCCAAGATGCATCAAGCTCACAGTAGATAAACCGGACTCTCAGAGGGGTAGCTTAAGGGCCAGGCAGAAGCCAGAAATTGTAGGCGACAGCATGATGTGGAGGATACAGGTCCAAACTTTCAGGAGCTCCTAGACAAGGGAAAGGGACAATGAACACAAGCAATGCCACTGAAAGGCACAGAAAGTACAATGGCAAAAGGTATAGAGAGCAGTGTGGGGGGAATCACATCTAGACAGCAAGGGGACAGGAAAGGACCAGGGATGGGATAGGATGGGTGGTAGGGATGGGATGGACAAGACTGAGAGGTGCAGCCAGACTCATTACCTTTCTGGCCAATGTGGCCACCACAGTGACTGCTGTGCAGATGACCACCAGCACTGCGGCCATGGCTCCAAGCAATGGGATCTGGAACCCAGCGCTGTACTCAGCTACTAGAGGGAAGACAAAACTAAGGTGAGTGGGAAGAGGCCGGAAGCAAAGGACAACCATTGTCCAGGGAAACCTCAGTGTCCGGGCACCAGGAGTGGGGATTGGCCAGGCTTTTCTCAAATCACAGGACTGGAGTCTTCAAACCCAGCTCTTTGCACAGCAGAGCATCTGCCCAGCCCATCACAAAATGAGTAACTTATCCCTCCAGGGCTGTGCCTCATGCATTTGACATCACAGCAGACCATTTTTAACACTCCCTTCTGTTCCACAAAATCACTTTCAGTAACAGTCACAAAGTGAAACAAATAACATTCAGTAAAAAAACAAGTGAATACTTTCTTTTTATTAAACTTTGTGTTTATAATCAATTTGATATTTTGATAAGTTTAATTAAAAAGTAAAATTAACATTAAAGTACAAAGAAGAAAAAAGACATATAACCTTTCCCACACCATTGATGGCAGCAGACAGCAGCTCTGAGGGTATAGTTGAGTGGAACCTGAAAACCTGTATTAAAATCAGCTGTACCACTCTGAGCAACGGCCAGGCTCAGCTTCTTCCTCCACCCTACAATCATATGGGGATTGGGGGATCCTATTAATAGCTAACACTGACCTCATGCTTGCCACATTCCAGGTGCTATTCTAAGGGCATTTCCTTTTAGTCAGTAATCCAATCCTATGTTCACACCTCATAAGGTCTTACATCTTCCCCTCATTTCACAGTTGAGAAAAACGAGGCACAGAGAAGCCCAATAATCTTGTGTCTGAGGTCACAGCAACACTAAGATTTGGACCCAGGCCATCTGAGCCCATCATCACTTTTCTATCCTGTCCCTCAGCCAAACAGTCATTTCCCCCCTCCAAAGAGGTTTAAGTGTTCAGGTGGATAATGAAGGCGAGAGCATTTTGGGAAACCATCAAGTACTAAAGAAATGTAACTTGTACATTTACACTTAGCACACACTGAGTTCTAATCCTTTATAAATGGAGAGGCTAAATCTAATTGGCATGATCACTGCTAAAGTAATTAATGTGATCCCTTCTCAAATGGGTTCTTCCCAGGTGGTGCAGCAGTAACGAATCCACCTGCCAATGCAGGAGACACAGGAGACTCAGGTTCAATCCCTGGGTCAGGAAGATGCCCTGGAGTAGGAAATGGCAACCCACTCCAGTATTCTTGGCTAGGAAATCCCATGGACAGAGGAGCCTAGTGGGCTAGAGTCCATAGAGTTATAAAGAGTTGGACATGACTGAGCGACTGAGCGTGTACACGCTTCTCAAATGACCTGAACAACTGGTCTTCCTAACAAAAACACATAAGATGTGCTTTTACCCAAACAGGTACCATTTACCCAAATGGTCAGCTGACCATTCAAACTATCGAGAGTGCTTCTAGAATCTAACATACCCTGCTCTGCCCCTAGAGGCTCTGACTGAACTGGTCTGGGAAGGGGTGCCAGCTTCCGTACCATTTGAAAGCTCCCTGGTGATGTGAATGTGAACCAGGGTTGGGAGATGTTGCTCTGCAGTGTTTCAATCATTGAGCATGAGGATCCTCAGCCACCTGGCCCCAGAGGACATACCTGAGTGTCGTAGGACTTGCAGAAAGAGTGCCCCTTTGTAAATTCCATCAGGGTAGGTGTGATAGATGCAGCTGTACTCTCCTGTGTCATTACTGGTCAGAGACTGGAGGGTGAGGCCCAGATTGGAGTCCGGGACCACTCGCTCCCTGAAGGCAGGATCGATATGCCACCCCAACCTGGCATGATGAATGGCCACAACTTGGTCTTGCTTCTTCCAGTTGACTTGGGTCACTTTGGCAGTGGTGGAGGAGAGGTAACATTGTAAGGTGACAGAGCCACCTTCCTCTGCAGAAATGTTCCCCATTGTTACTATTCTGCCTGTCACAGCTCCTAGAGAGGGGGAAAGAAGTGTGCATTTTTAGGAGCTGGTCTTGAACCTTTCCATAGAAATCCCAAGGAGTCTTTGAGGCCAAAATTGGTTTTCGGTGTTTTACTTTGTTTTTGTGGGTTTTTTTTTTTAGATTTTTTTTTGATGTGTACCATTTTTAAAGTCTTTATTGAATCTGTTACAATATTGCTTCTGTTCTATGTTTTGTTTTTTTGGCCACCAGGCATGTGGGATCTTAGGTCCCCATCTAGGGATTGAGCCTACACCCCCCTGCACAGGAAGGCGATGTCTTAACTACTGGATTGCCAGGAAAATACCAGAATTGGATTTTGGAATGACAGTCTCCCCAGTTCGTCCTGTCTTTCCCCCATAAAGACCATAATTCCTATACAATGTAGCCACTTTTCCCTCTCAGGACACTCTGCTGGAATGTTATTTTTTGATGAGCTCATTGATTTTTTTCCACACGCTTTCGCTGTCTCTCTACCTAGAATATAGGCCCTTGTTGGCCACCACTTCTGTTTCTGATTGTATCTTTCAGCAGCCAATTCTGCTCTGGGCCCATTATCCTTTGAAATAAGACCTGGTTGTTTTTATTGACTGCCATTTGGGGTGCCTGGAAAATTTTCAGAAAAGCCCTGAAATCTAAAGGAAAGGAAGCTTGGAGAGCAGCTCTGTTTCTCCCAGGCAAAACCACCCTCCTCAGCACTGACCTCCCGCAGATGGTTCAGAAAACAACAGGGAAACAAAATTATAACAACTTTTAAATATTTCTGCCCTCTCAGACACATTTATTTATGATTTTTAATACAGAAGGAAATAGGTTTAACATAAATTCAATCTATAACAGTAGAATATCTGGAATCTGTGACGATGACGTTTTTGACCCACAAAAAGCATACTATGTTTTTCTAGAAGTTTCCTCAAGGACAGAAGAAAGGAGGATAGAGCAGGAGGGAACTTCTCCCAGCAAACCCATTATCCCTCCTCCTTAGTCCTTTTCTCACCTCCTGCTTCTTTTTTTGGGTCAGCCAGGAAGGCACCCACAACCCCAAGACCTTCATCTACCACCGAAAACAGAACTGGAGCTCCTTCTCATAGACAGCGTTTTATCCCACGAGGGGACACAGGACTCTGAAAACTGTATTTCCTTCCATCAGATGGATGAGGCCTTAGCTCTAGCCTCCCCTTCCCGCCCGCTCTCCCTCCCGTCCTGTCCTGGGCTAGACTTCAGATCTTACCTGAGGCGGGGAGGGGAGCCTGCCTCAGCCCCTGGGCCCAGATCAGGAGGAGACACCACTGCATGCTTCTGCCCCAGGGGGCTGACAGGAAGCAGCTGTGGCCCCTTCTGCCACCGAAACTGGCTGACTGCTGATGGCAGGGTGAAACTGAGCCTCTGAGGAGAGAGGGTCTCGGAAAAACAAGTTCAGCAAAAACAATGTCAAAGACAGATAAAGCTCACAACAAGAGCACAAACTGCAATGGGCAAGCCACAAGAAAAACCATGAAGGAAACACTTTAAAAATAAACAAAAATGTGGTTAGAGGTACACTGGTCTTTGGATTACTATTAGTCAGCCTATAGTTTTCAAGTTCTGTCTCAATGTACTTTTTAAAAAAAATCAGCTTTTATCTAACAAGCTCAAAAGCATCTGTGTAATGCCCAAGATCCTGGGGAACCTGTCCCTGCTGGGGTTCACTGGCCTGTCCTGACTTTTTCCCACTAAAGAATGTGCAATGAGAAGAGAAACTTAAGTTTGTACACTTAAAGACCAGGAACTGCACTTGAAATCTAATGATCGCGGGAACAAGAGACAGTTACTTCAGAAAAAAGATGAAAGCCTTGACCAAACAGAGCAGCTTTCCCTTGAGTGAGGGAAAGAACTAAGATTACCTCTCCATGAATCTTATTTCTTCGATCTTATTTATTTGGACTGAGATGTTGTTGAATTCGGGCTTAGTCTCTCTGACCGAGTAGAATCAGAGGAGACCAGAAGAGTGAGTTTTCTCATGAATGGTGACCCCACAACCACTGGGGATGCAGAGGGTGAGCCCCAGTTGCCTGACCCTGGATTGGGATCGGCTGACACTTGCCTGGAGCTCCCAGCTCATCATCAAGCTCTGCTGTTGGCCCACCCTTCCTTCCTGCTTCCCTTCCCACCCAACACCCCCGCTCCCCTGTCTCTCTGTTCATTCATGTGAAAGTCCCTGAATGCCTGTGAAGCACCAGACTCAAGACTAGGCTCTGGAGATATGAGGGTGGATCATCACAGCCCCCTGCTCTCAGACAGTCCACAGCCAAAGCTTGCTCTCTGGTGAAGCCATGCTCTGGAGAGAGGAGGTGGAGGGTACACATTCACCTGCCTTCGGGGCTCCCCACTGCTGCCTTGGACATGCCCCATGGTACTGTCCTAAAAGTCTGCTGCTCCACCAGGGGGGACATTGGAAGCCTGCCCCTCATTCCAGCCTGCACCTTGAGCATCCCACACTGCGCAGACTCCTGTCCTCCTTTGCTCCTGCAGGACACCCCATCTCAAACCAGTTTCCTCCCCTCCCTGGGTACTGCCTGCTCCCAAGTCTACACCATGACCCATGTACAACTTACACCTCACCCCCCAACCCAGCCCCTTAGACAACACATGCCTAACCAACTACTTTCTGCTCACCCTGATTCAACCTGTCCTTCAAGGCTCACATCAACACATCTCCTCCACTGCCTCTCCACAGTTAAAGAGCTGCAGCTGAAGAAGCTATGAGACCTAATGTAGGTGCTGAGATTGAACTGGTGGGGCATTTCCAAATCTGATTCAACCTGTCCTTCAAGGCTCACATCAACACATCTCCTCCACTGCCTCTCCACAGTTACAGAGCTGCAGCTGAAGAAGCTATGAGACCTAATGTAGGTGCTGAGATTGAACTGGTGGGGCATTTCCAAAACTGGTTGCCAAGGCAGAAGAGCCAAGGGTGGGAGAGCAGCGAGCAGCTGATGGGAATAAAGCACAGAGAGAAATGGACTCTGGCATTTGGACTATAAAAAACTTAGACTGCTTCTACAGTGGGGATTGGTAGAAGCCACAGAGGCAGGACCTGTCTTATATACAGCTGGCCTTCTGGAACTATGAGTTCAACATGTGCAGGTTCAACCAACCACAGATAGAAAATATTTTTTAAAATTCCGGAAAGTTCCAAAAAGCAAAATTTTAACTTGCCTTGCACTGGCAACTATTTGCATAGCATTTACATTATATCTATAACTAGTCACATAGTGTGATTGCGTGCCAAGTCACTTCAGTTGTGTCTGACTGTTTTCAACCCTATGGACTGTAGCTCACCATGCTCCTCTGTCCATGGGATTTTTCAGGCAAGAATACTGGGTTGCCATGCCTTCCTCCAGGGGATCGCCCCGACTCAGGGAGAGAAACTGTGTCTGTCTCTTGTGTCTCCTGTATTGGTAGGCAGGTTCTTTGCTACTAGCGCCACCTGGGAAGCCCCATTCACATAGCATTTACATGCTATTAAGTATTATAAGTAATCTAGAAATGGTATAAATTATATGGGAGGTTGTGCCTAGACTATAAGCAAATACTATGCCACTTTATGTATGAGACTTGAGCACCTGCGTGGTTCCTGGAACCAACATGGATGCTGAAAAATGACTATACAATGAGAAATCCAAAGAAACTTAGACTAGGTTAAAGAATTGTTCTTTAAACAATCAGTCCAAAGAGGAACACAGGCAGTTCTATTCTGATCAATGGTGCTCTCCAGAGACATTTGAAGGTGGTGACTAACACCCTGTGGAATGAAAACTACCTGGGGCCAAAATTCATACTCGTTTGGTGATGTTGTGAAATTACTCAACCTCCTTAAGCTTCAGCTTCCTCATCTATTAACAAAAACAGTAGTGTCCCCTCCTCACCCCCACTCTTAGGTTCATTGTGAGGATTCAGTGAACTGATGTCTGGTAAGATATTCGGCACAGTGCTGAACACAGAAGAGATCACTATATCAATGATAGTTTTGCTACAAATATTAACTGAGGAAGAGAAAGGAAGATCAGAGAAGAATAGCCCTGTCCAAGTAGAGTATTTTGCCAGGAGTAAAACCCTAGTCTCTGGACTACAAAGCCAGTGTTCTACAAACCTCTTCATTCTGGCTTAGGCATCTAGTATCAAATAAAATAAAATGTTACTGCAGAAAAGTAGCCACCGTACCGGTCAAACCCTGAGAAGGCCTTGGAGGAAGATGAATGATGGAAGAGTCTCCCCAGGGAACCTTCCAAATTCCTCTGAAGCCTCCTCCTAGAAAGGTCACTAGCTGCAGCCAGAGCCGAGCACCACAACCACAAGGAGCAGGTCTGAACTAACAGTTCCCCAAGCCACCCTGAGCCTTTGGGGCCCATTTGCAGTCCCTGCAGCAAAGCACGAACCCCTGTGGTTGTGTGTGTGCTAAGTTGCTTCAGTCATGTCTGACTCTTTGCGACCCTATGGACTGTAGCCTGCCAGGCTCTTCTGGGTTAGTTGGGTGCTAACTCACATTTGCACTTTCTAAAAGGAGCCACAGTACTTTTTTCCCCTGACTTCTGGGGTTGTGGGTTGGACAGGTGTGGTTAGCCTTGAGGCAGTGGGATGAGTGGAGGTACTGGGGAAGGGATTCCATTTGCGTGTAAAGGGGGAAGAAGCCCTGGCCTGGAAAGTAAAACTCTCCCCAGGCCCTTCAAGTGCTTTCACAGCCCAGCCTTCCCTTTGCCCTATAAGCCTCCCCTGAGCCCACAGCCTACTTCCCAACTCCAGTTGGAAGCCCGTGGCCTGGCAAGGATCACAGCACTGCAGGGCTGAGAGTGGTCACACTTTCCACAAGGCCATGTCTTGTACATAGGAAACACAGCCTAGGATTTTCTCGAGGCACAGGCCCATCTCTCAGCTGTGTCTTTGAACTTCAGACTCTCCGAAGTCTTCCTTCCAGCTCAGAAGGGGTGCAGAAGCCTGAGGGATATCATGACTGTCTTCTCCCCACTCTCCCCAGCCTCTTACCAACTGCAACATCCAGCAGCTGCAGAGGCGGGGGCCTCCCTGGCCAAGTGCTCCCACTCTCTGCCTCACAGGCTAGCACCTCCTACTGTGGGCTATACTGTGGCTGGAGGGTCTACAGAGAGCTGAGAAAGCAGGAGACAGGAAACTGGGGACATAAGGGGACACAGCCACCCCGGGTACCCAGAAGAGCCTGCCCTGTATCCCCCTCAGCCCCACCCTCCCTTTGCCACCACGAAGTTATTTTACTCGACATGAAAGGAATATCTCTGACCTCACGGTCTTTAATAATTCTGTGAGCCACGAGGTTTATGGGCAGCAACCACCTCGGAGCAAATGCAGATAGGAGGAACTCAGGAGTGAGATTGCTGTTGTTTGTCCAAGTCCCCTTGGGTGAGGTGACCCTGAGGACCTCCCCAACAAAGGCTGCCAAGAAGGTTCATGGATTATGGGAAATTCCCTTTACCTTCCCAGCTGTGAAAATAGGACAGAGACTCCCAGGAGAGGCTGGAATGCAATCAGAAGAAAAGTCGTGGGAGGAAGCAGCTGATCTTCTGTCCTCAACTTAGGCCTTTCCGGTAGCCTCTCTCACAGCCCTCCCACCCACGGACATCACTCCCCTCGCATCCTCCCCCATCCTGGATGTAATTTTCTTATCAGTCATCCCCTAGCCCTGTCTCCCATGGGAAAGATGTCCTCTATTCCTGGAAACTTACTTCCTACTTCCTACTACCTGCATCCCTCAGCATCCAGGACAAGGAGGACTGTGATAGAAATACATGTGAATGTGTGGTTCAAGGAACATCTCAACAGTCAAGCATCCTCACTCCACCATCAAAACAATGCCAGACCAAGATGGTTTCACAGGGGGACTATAACAAACCTGTAAAGAGAGGATAATTCCAATGCTACTTAAAATATACAGACATAAAACATAAAGGAACACTTCCAAATTTGTTTTATGAAATGAATTTCAAGTTATTATAAAAATGATTAAGATTGCTCACAATAAAAGAAAATCAGATCCTAATCTCTTACCAATAGTGTGGGGAAAATTCTAAATAAAATATTGTCACACAGATGCCAATAGCAAATTAACGAAATACATAATCACCAGTTAGAGTTTATTGCAGGGTGAATAAATATGTATGTGAATCATACAAGGATGATTCAATACTAGGAAATCTTTCAATATTAATATTAAATACAAGCTCTACATAGGAAAAACATATGGTCATTTCCTGACATTAAAAAGAAAATTCAATCCCTATGACTG